TGAAATTCAATAATAAACTGTAGGTTTAAATACAAAATAAGTACAAGAAACTATTTTTTACTTTTGCAGAATCAAAACCAAACTACTGTATTCACAAGAAAGTAATGTCCTGTACTATGGTCATCAGCTTAAGACGTCACCTTTTCCATCTACTGAGTTTCATACCAACAGTGACATCGTGGATCTCTCTGTTTGGTTGCAACACCACTATCTGAATCATGTCTACCTGTTGCTCCACAGTCCAGTCAGGGACTGGCAGGCCTGTGGAGGTATTTGCAACACATTAGTAATTTTATTCCAAAGCTGGAGGCTGCTCCTGAGCCCTTGCCCCAGGGCAGGGCTCCCCCAGTGGCTGTGCTGAAAGGAAAGCTCACCGAGTACCTTGTGCAAGTGCGAACTGAACTTTTCCCAGCAGTTCCCTTTTCCCACCCAGTTTTACAGTGCAGTCTGCAGAGCTCTGTTCCATGAGGGTGCCTTCAAACAATGCCCAGCCCCAGTCAGGACAGCTGAATTGTGCAGGCTGAGAATGTGCTCAGCTCCAGGCAGTTGCCATCGCATGGGAAGCGACCAGAGTCCATCTGTACTTCCACGCCTGCCAGCTTTCTACAGGCTAGGAAAGATCAATGAATCAAAGTTATTTTGTCCTAACAGAATTCTCACCACTTCTGGGATGCCAAGCACCTTATATGGTTTGTATTAGCATGACTGGATTTCTGTCAGTGAAATAAGATGCCACCACTTTATAGCCCTGGCCTCCCAGGCAGAGCTCCTGCACAATGCAGCAGTTGTGTGAGAATGGCTCTGTGCCACCCACATGACTGACCATGTTATGATCTTAACTCATTTCACTCACAGGCACTGCAGAAACAGTTCTAGCCTCTCTTCTCTCCCCAAAATATACCACATTATGATCCTGAATACAGGGAAAGCATTATATAAGCGAAGAGCATTTCAGTCAACTTGCTGAGACAAGGAAAACCAACAAAGAAACTTTCCATATGCTGTGCAGGCAAGATATTTTATTTAAAAAAAGCAATACCTACAGTAGGAAAGAAAAGAAAGTTGACTCTACAGTGAAAAATCTGGGGAAACACACCATAAATCTTTCTGCTCCATCCACATTCTGTATTTTTTACAGAATTACTGAATTACTAGATAATTCAGTGACAAGTAAAACACACTTGCAGAAACACTGTCAAGTCTTAAATAGGACTGAAAGCGCCTCACCCACTGTTCTTCTCCTATGGCCTATGTGATCTCCCTCTTGACTTTTTCACTATTCTGCAGCCCACTCAGCCATCCTGTGACATTGTATGCACACATTACAGGCCTATCTGACCAAATGAAGAACAGAAACAATGACAGGGCTCTTCTACTTAACAATTAACAGATATTGCAGTGTTGTATTTTGTAGCTAACTGACTCCATTTTATTTAAATGAAAGTCCTCAATAGCTTAGTCAAATCAGAAGAGATGTCATCAAGGTTAAGCAGATTTAAACAAATACCAGCAACCCAAAACTTTCCAAGTGTCCACATTCTGCCAGACGCTGGATATTGAATAAATGAAATAGCTGTATAGAACAGCCACCTTGGAAAGAAACAAAACAAAAATAACCCCAGACCCACCTTCAATTCTGTTATGCTACTGTGCTGTGTGATGGCAACTGCAGCTGCTGCTTAACAACATGTCCCATTTCTCCTCAGACAGCTGAACTTTCAGCTGGACTTTGTCATGTTCAAACTGCAGCCAGCTTCTATAATGCTTCTCCTGGATGCAGGATGTGGTACCTCATGGAGATGTCCGTAGAGCCTGTCTGTGAGCTATTTTGTTATGTAGTGGGAAGCAGCATAGTAAGAAATTAGGGAACAGGAAGGAAAAACTGAGGACCAACTCCATCTAATTGCCTCCCACTTGTCTGACAAGGTCTGAGCCACAATGGATTCCAGGCACAGAAAGAAGATGGAAAAATGGCTTTAAACTTTGAAACATTCATTGCTTTCAAAACACTGTTCAAAGGTATCTTGGATATGCTCAATTCAAATAACTCACATCAGTGAATTAAATCTCTGGAAAACAAACTTTTGTAGTTCAGTGTTTTCTCAGATGTTCCAAGGTTTGAAGTGTAAATGGAAAATGAAATCATGATTTGTTATAGAAGTGGACTGCAAAAAGCACGAGAGAGTCACAAATTCTGCAGTTTGGCAGATGCCCTGCAAGCCTCTCTTGGCATCCAAGCCTGGGGCAGACCAGTCTGAAACGAGATTTAAGCCATCAGCACTTGTGGCTCTTGTGGCTCAGAAGTTATGCACTGTGAATCAGAAATACCTTACTGAACTTTTTTTGGTTTGGTTTGGTTTAAGGGTTTTTTTGTTAGCTGAAGCATTTAAATCCGTGTCTGCCTTAGAAGGGAGAGGCTGCCTACCTGCTCTGATCCTACATATCTGCAGTGAGACCCAATTTCAGAGAGGACAGGAACTACGCTGAGCTGCTGAAAAGACCCCGGGCAGGACCAGCTTGAGCACTCCTTGAAGAGATAAACCCTTACATTCCAGGCAAAGGCTGAGTCACACCTCTCTCTGCTCCTGACTGTCACAAAGAAATCAAGACAAGTTAGACAACCTGCTGCAAACCTTCTTCTTCTTTTTTAAGCAAAGTGTTCAGTGTTACAGTGTTCAGTGGTCAGGAGTACCAAACAGTGCTGCTGGCAAACCACTGGCTGAGCACAGACTCACATCCCTCTGTGAGTGCAGACATCATCAGGGGTGCAACACTTAACAACAACAAGCATGCTCCACTTTAAAGTAATATATGGATGCTTCAGCAATACAGATAGAAAAGCTTTAAGAAATATGAGTCAGGACTTCCCGTGCTGTACTTGTGCAGGACAGAAGGACCCCCAGTAACAAGCTGCCAACTCCTAAGCAGGCAGACAAAATTTTATGTACAAATTTTAAGACCAAACTTTGTTTAAAATACAAAAATGGACAGAACGCAGTTGACAATCTCACAAAAATCCTGGAATAAACCCTCTGATGCTGACAGTTTTCTTATTTTTATTGGCCTGGCTGCAATTTATTTTATGGTTTTATTTTTTATGATCCATTTTTGATGTTTAGTTACTGAGAACACTTGAACTGCAGTAACACAAAAGGATGACTGTGATTTGTGTCTTCACAAATTAAATTTAGACAAGAACAGGCTCAGACTGCGGTTCCTTGTCCCTGGGAAGTGACACTAATAATCCCCTGTGCACACACTGGAGAATGAGGCAGGAACAGTCCCTTCCTCAGGTATGTGTGGCCATGGGAGCTAATGTTCCCTTTAAAGGACTGTAGGTGTCTGGTGTCTGATGACTGGTAAAATGCTAATGGTAATGTTATCTCAGTTGTACTTCTAAGTAAGTTGTCTGCTAAGCCCTTGGTTTCACCTTGTAAAATAAAACAGAGATCATGTTCATTTCATAGAGGCCAAAATTTTGTGGGTTTGTTTGGGTTTTTTTAAACAAAAAATTCTGTCAGACTGCTTGTGTACTTTTACATGACACTGCAATGAAAAAAGAAAGCATGAAAGTGGAGAGAAAGGAAAAACCTGAGAAACTGAAGCTTGTGGCCTGGTGCTCACAATTCACAGACATGAAGCAGCAACACCACAGCTATTGCTTTGATCTATCTCCCTATTAATCCCTCTTCCCACAATAGAACCACTGACATTTCACTGGTATTCAGATGTGATTAAAATATATTCTAATACCTATAAATAGAAGTGTTGGTTCAAACACTAATTAAAACCAAATATAGCATTTGGAAAACTGTTTCAACAAAAAAGTAAAAGGGTGCAGTAAACAGCAGCAGTCGAAATGTTGCCCCTTTTTTCTTTTTTCTCTGAGAAAAAGACAGACCTCTGTTCTATAGATTTTTATGTTAATGTTTGGATTTCCAAGTGTTTACAAGCATCCACCCAGCAACTTCAGCATAAGAGTAACAAGACAGACTATGCTCTCTCCTTCAATTCTGATTATTGCCATAAAGTTCCAATGATAACAGGGCAAGTCATGCACACTGACTTTCTGCAGCCTTCATGGTAGTTTTTAATTAAATGTTAAGTTACCTTGTTCCCACATTAGTTTGATCATATGCCACTTCACAACCAACCCTTGTTTCTATATACATGTATCTACACATCCTTTATTTTCCTGACTGATTCTACCTTCTTACCCTCCCTCCTGCATCACTATCTACTTGGAGCAGAGGCTTATTGCAAGGCAAGGGGACTTTACAGCTTTGCTGCCTTAACTGTCAAAACTCTCACAGCTTGAGAAAACCATGAGAGTTCACAAAATAGCCAGTTCTGCATGTGGTGGTAAATATGTACTGGTTTGTCCCCCAAAGATATAGAGCACTTTGGAGCAGGGATGGAGCCTTTACAATATTATATAAAGCAGTGTTTTCCTCAGGGAATGTTCATATCACTGGCACTTACTAGAGACAACTGTAAAGAACTGAATCTCCCTTAAACTCAAGCCCCAAACCAGAGCACACCACAGTCTCTCTGGAGAGCCAAGTGAGACTTCTGAGCACACAAAGAGGGACAATATGAGCTGAAAATGGGGAATAATAATTTTAGAACATGACAGACACATTTGGAGACAACATCACAACTAAACGAGACCGGGCTCTACTATACAGTCAGCATGCTACATGAAAAATTGAACACTTGAGCAAATGTGCTGCCTGAGGTGCCTGTACAACAGTTTGGACACTCAGGCTGGCCTCTGCTCCTTTGGTGTGCAAACACACCTGAGCCTACACAAAACACAAAGACACACTAAGTCGTTAAGGCATGTGAAGATGCAACAATAGCAGAGTTCAGATCATCCAATTTCAGATTTAGGCATGTGAAAAGAGAACTTGGGTAAGCCTGGTTCCTGGTGAACACTGTCACTCTCAGGCAATAACACAATGGTGTGTGTTGGGTAGATTTTTTCTGAAGAGACTTACCTCAGCATCCTGCTCCCGGAGCTGGTATGTTCTCTCCAAGCACTGCAGTGTTCTAGGACACAATGTCTTCTCCTCCAACAGAGACTCCAGAAGTAAGACCAGCTGGTCAGGGAGAAGCTAACAGAAAAATAAATGCCATGTGTGACTGAGCAATTAAATGGAAACAAACCACAGAGGACAGGATTGTGATAACTAGTACTTCCAACACGTGCTCAAAATACAACATGGACTTCTAGCTGGTTTCTGAAAATCCTCAGGGTTTATGTGTCTGTATTCTGAAAGATTGTGCTGGGGCACAATTAAGACTTGTTTGTCATGGTTTTTGTTACTGTGGTTAGGTCAGATTTAAAACGTGTTTATTGAAACATAATCGTAGCTTAATAAGTAAGATTTGTATTGAATGAATAAACTAAGTAACTCCATTTTGTTTGGGCTTGGAAGAGATAAGAAGAGAATCATTTACAGTGCACAATTTCAGAATCAACTAGGCACTTGAATGTATAATTTTTTAGAGTGGCATTTTTATCTCATATATAAGCATTTGCAGGATACATCTACAGCAAACAAAGAAACACAGCACAAATAAGTGACCCAGAGAACAAGTGTTGTAATGACACATTTTGAGGCACATTTGTGGGCAATGAGTCCCAAGTCATTCATCATTACATGGTAAAGATACATGAACATTGTGTGGAGATATATATATATACAATAGTTTATATATATATATATACTATTCACTGCCTGAACCTATGATTTTCAACTTGAACCTAATGTAACCTAAAAAGAAAAAGCATAAGAAGTCTGTTGTAGCAAGTGCTTAAGTGCTTTGTTTAATAGGCTTATTGGATGAACAAATAAATAATTCAAACAGAGCTCAGAGAGAAATTACACCAGCTGTCAAGAAAAAAATCTACTGGAAATTCAGGATTCAAGGTGATCAGTCAGAAGTTGTTTATATGCCCCATAACTTTCCCCATTATTCATCATTGCAGGGCACCAAGAGAGAAAGGGGAAAGGAAGGAAGGATGTCAGTTTAAGTTTTTGCAAACAAAAAGAAACCAACACTGTTCAATTCTAAAGTTCTGAAGACAGACTAATGAAAAAAGACATCCTGTTACTCTGACACCACCTCCAGCTTTTACCACATCTGGACTTTCTGCTCCCACTTTGCTGCCTGCCCATGTCCCCAGCCTTGCTGAGCAGGGATGAATTTGGCCACAGGAAATGCCTGACATCCCACAGCCAGGGCTGTTCACAGGGACCGAGCAAGTCTGGATCCCTGATCTCTGACAGCAAGTCCAGGAAGATACCACAGATCTGGTAAGTCTTGATCTGTAAAGTATTGCCATTAACAACCAACACAGCAACATGACATTTTCTTCCCTTTGAGACTGATGTAATTTAGCATTAGTACCTAAATCAGAACAAAGAGAAAAAGGAGATTTTAAGGCTCTGCCTCACATTTTGATTTTCATTTTTTTATTATTCAAGTTAGTCGCATTCTTGAAGACTAAAAAAACCTCACATCTTATTGGCTCCTACTGGAACATTTTCTAAGTGATACCGAAGCCTGCTAAGAAAATGGCACATTAAAAATGGTCAGACATTTAAAAATATTGAATATTTCAATTTCAGGACAACTACTAAAATGACAGTTTGGACGTTTATTACATAGGTCAACAGCAGCTGCCTGGGGGTTGGTGACACAGGCTAAAAAATATAAAAGGGAAAGCTTCTGGGAAGTGGTTCTGCTTAGAAACTGAATTAATTCTGAACACTAATAAAATCTGAAATGTTGCAGAACGCCACACACAAAAAGGTAACTTTTGATTTAGAAAGCTTTGCCTGCTAACTACAAAGACAGCAGAACAGCATTTAATTTAACTATAGAACAGCTGCTCAAATACATAGGTGCAGACCAGCTGAGGGTTACTATTTTATAATATATTTCCAGTGTAATAGCTATACGGTTTCAGCCACAGAAAGATATTGTTTAGGGAAACATTACAGAATCTCACTGAAGCCAACAAGAGCAGTAGCAGAGCAGCAGCCATGCCCTTAATTTACCCCTGCCTAGTGCTGCATCATGGCTGAAGACTTTCCAGAATTATAGGATAAACACTTATCAGTTCAGATTTGGGACTGCAGAGTAAAAAAAACAATCAATCAAACAAAACAAACAAAACCCCCCACCAACAATAATAAAACCGAAACCAAACCAACCAAGCAAAAAAAACCACAAAACCCAACCCAAACCTGCCTGAGCTCAAGAAGCATTCGGCCAATGCTCTCAGGCACACAGGGGGATCTTTGGGGTGCCCTCTCAGGGCCAGGAGCTGCACTCAGTGATCCTGATGGTCCCTTCCAGCTCAGCATCCTCTATGATTCTATGATATGAGAACGTGGCTTCTGCTATTTACCCCTGTTCCAGCTGCTCAAGATTACACTGTACAGGCCAGTTTCCAGCTCGAGGACTAATGACAGTCCAGGTCAGGAGCACAAACCCCAGCAGAGGGTGGGGGCACGGGCAGAGGAACTGCAGGCTCCTCACGGCACTGGCACTAGTGGGCGCAGCTCGTTTGTTCTCCGGCTGTTTCCAACACAAGTAAAAGTAGGAACATTCTCTTCTACGTCTTACCCCTTCCTTTCACTAAAAGAGACTCCATCAAAGAAAAAAACCCATCTTAAGCAAAGACACAGAAAGCTTGGCCGAAGTTCCACGACAGAGGCTGCTACAAAATTTACCCAGGGATGTAGAAATCCTCTTTTCCTCAAACAAAGCAGTACGAATATCGCTATCTCCAAAGCAGCTTTTTAATGGTTATAAATAAGCTTAAAAAAATCGCACTTGAATTTTCTGCCAAAACCCCCTCTCTTCTTATTTTTTGTTTTCCCCACTAGCATCTTATTTGTCCTGCCCATCTGTTACTTCTCATCTTCATACCAGGAGAATTGTTTGGGGTCAATTTTCCATTTGTTTGCCTTATGCTTTAATACAAAGGGGCCCATGCTACCAAAACATAAATGCTGTAGAGAACAGAACAAAAATTTCTTTTCAAGTATCATGAAGCCATTTTCCTTTACAACTCATATTCTGTGAATGCATAGTGAAATATCTAACACACATAAAAAAGCACACAACACAGCTACAACAAGTTACAGCAGCATAAACTTCACTTTATCAATGTGTTTCCGTGTTAAAGGCATTCAGAAAACAACCATAACACCCTAAACACAGAATTCCAGTGTTCCTCTTAAAGTAAGTTTAAAAAAATCCCCATGCTCTGAACTGCATTGGAGAGTGCTCAATCAAAATGTTCAAATATACATAATTATTAAAGCAGATCACTTCAATCAGGAAATGTGGTCAGGATCAAGAAATATTTGCATTACGTCGATGATTGCTGCAACAGGATCTATTTATATTGTAAAGTAGATAGTTCCTGTCCCAACCTATGGCTGTTGCATGGAAATCATAAACTTTTCCCAGGGCTGCCCCTCTCCCAGTTGTGGGCACTGACACTACAAAGACAAAATAAATTAATAACCTGCAACCAAGCACAGCAGAGGTTTTCTGTCATGTCCCATGTAATCAAACATTTTCCCCACTATAAAGCTGTATCCCAGCACAGTACACAGTATTCTGCCCTTAAGACTATAAAACCTCTGCTTGCAACCTTTTGAAAGAGTTCACTTTGTCCTGCCACTAAACAGCCACTTGTCCCCTGCTCCCCCTATTACCTGACGTGGTTCTTTTAAAGTGTGAATAACACAGCTGTTACCCTTAAAACAAACTGCAGATTATATCATTTATATCAGCGAATATCAAAACTAGGTCTTGTGTTTGAAAAAGGCAAGATGAAAGAATTAAAGAAAATGTAACCAAATAGAAAATATAACTAAGACTATTACAGAAACAGCTTACTGTGGCTGAGATTCACAGTACACTAAGTATCTGGGAAGTAAGAAAAGCATACTTTGTATTTTATTCATATCAGCACACAAGACACTCAAGCCATTATACTGTGTTACAAGAGTATCTCAATGCATTAGTAGCTTTTACAGGGTTTCTGCAAATAATCTTTGAAAATAATTCCTATGAATTTTCTGAGTACAACCCCTAACCTGTAAAAAAGCACAAAGAAAGCAAATCATTCCTCTTCCAAGATCTGGTACAGCAGCTACAGAGGTCATCAACCTCACATCCCAAACGACCACCCACGTGAAGGAGTGTATTTATCAATTCCTACACTAACAAATGCAATAAATGCCAGATTCACCCTTTATACTAGAAAAAAAATGCCACTGAAACATTTGACCACTGACCTTTCACAGCCATGAAATGTGACACAGATACATCTATCTGAGTATCCACAGTCCCAGCACTTGCACTGCACCCCTCAGCCAGGACACAAATCACTAAAGTTGTACAGCTGGTATGCTGAATATCCCATTTGCTCCTGCCTGCATTTGAATGAAGTCATTGAAAGCCTCCTTGGAGGGGAAATCTGCCTCAGACTAATGCAGCAACCGATTGACAGTGGCGTGATTTCTATTATTATTCCATTATCACACTGGGATCTGTGCCTAAATGAGCATACTTCCTCCCTGATGCCATTTCCTTTTATCCTGGCTCTAATCTAAAAGTGGATCAATGAGAGTAATATATATGATGTCACTTCAATTTACAGCCATTGCCTCCTTCTCTCGTAGGCACAGATGGATCGATTCTTCCCAAAAATGGTTAAGAAATGCACAGGCAGATTCTCCTCCGAGAAAAGAGTTCTCTGCTATATTTGTCTGTGTAACCACAGCAAGGAACTGTTTACATGGAGCAAAAAAACAGGGTGGAAAGGAAAAAAAAAGTCACTACTGTGCACTGGAAAATGCTGGCCAAAATACAAGAAAAACAAGGCCCAACAACACTGAATTAAAGCAATTTAACCTTTAAAAATTATACAGAAACATTTGAAGTTTCTAAGGCACAATATATTTCTCCTGTATTTCTTTGGGGAAGGTAGTCTTGAGTCCCATTCCCAAAAACATGAAATGTATTTTCATTTACACTTTTACAAAATTTTCCAAAGTCAAACCAAATTCCTTCCCACTCCTCT